GTTGCTAGAACTGTTTCCCCAAAGGACGCTGGAAAAATTACACTTCCGGAAGTGTTAATATTCTGCAGTTCTACCCTTTGACCTCAAGTCACTAATGTATCCTGTAGTGTGTGGTGGACAGCAGGGCCTTTTTTTTTACAGGTAAGAGGGGTTATAATAAATTTTTGCGACAGGGTCACTTTAAGCTAATGCTTTTTATTTGTTTTTTTTTCATATATTATTATTCTACAGGATTTATATAGCGCCAACAGTTTGCACAGCGCTTTATAATATAAGGAAGACATTAGTTACAATACAAATCAAGACGAGATGACAAGATGGTTAGGAGGGCCCTGCCCATGAGACCTTACAATCTGAAAAGGAGGGGCAGGTGGATAGGAGCTGGGAAAGGTATAAGCCTCTGTTGGGTATTTGTTGGTGTGTGTGCCCCTGTATGGGTTTACTTTCATTTTTTTGCAGGGGGTATCTATGGTAAATAGTAGGGATGCACCGATACTGGATTTTCAGTATCGAGTACGAGTACCAATATTTTATGTTTCAGTACTCGCCAATACAGAATACCGATACTGGAATTACCTGTTTGAGAAAATCATAGTTCAGTGGCTAGGTTGAGGCGCTATAGGCTTCCCTGTAGAGATGAATCTTCAGGGATCGCCTTAAGGCAGACGATAGGAAAAAGCTGGACAGGATTAGGTAGGGAGTTCCAGAAGATGGGGGAAACTCTAGAGAGGTCCTGGAGACGTGCATGGGGGGAGTTGACCAGGAAGCTAGAGAGCAGGAGGTCTTGGGAGGAGCAAGGGGGACGGTTAGGGTGATACTCTGAGATGAGGTTGGAGATATAGCCGGGGGCAGAGTTGTGGATAGTTTTGTATGTTGTTGTTAGTATTTTGAATTTTATCCTTTGGGTGATTGGAAGCCAGTGCAGGGATTGGCAGAGGGTGATTGCAGACACAGAGCGGTTGATTAGGTGGATGAGTCTAGCAGCAGCATTCATGATAGACTGGAACAGGGATAGCCCATGTAGAGGAGGGAGTTGCAATAGTTGAGAAAAGAGATAACAAGTGAGTGGATGAGTAGATTTGTGGTTTTATTGTTAAGAAAGGGTCAGAATACAATAGCCCAGAAGGGAAGATTTATCCATCCATTCTGTTTAGTATGGACGAAGGGTAAACAAAAGAAATCTATGCAAGTACGGCCAGCTCTAGTATTATAGATGAAATGCCCTTGGAGCTTCTGGACATCCTGGCCAGCACTGAAATGAACCCTGTATGCCTAATGCAGTCTTCCTACATAAGAAATTCAGTGCAGGAGTAATAACAATTATATCGTAATATAAAATATCAGTATTTTCACTGAGGCCCTGAGATCTGATATGCCGAAAAAGACTGGTGAGCTACTGAGGTTGGAGCGGTTAGCTAAAAATAATGTTAAAAGTTAATTCTCTGCACTGTTATCTCTCCCCTCCTTTTCAGTTGCAAGTTCTGTCCACAGCATTGGTCCTTAGCAATGTACTGACTATGCTGGCTCTCCTGATACCTGCCCTTAATTTAGACATACTTTATGTTAAAGCTGAATTTGCTAAAAAAAGAAAAAACTCCTCTTGCACTGGGGCTGCCCCTGCACTGCAAGGGTTAAATGTCCATTTAGGTCTAGGGTACCTGGGAAAAGGACTTTTACTTACCTGATCCACGCTCATTCAGGCTCCCTCTGGACCACAAGATCAGTACTCGCAGCCTCTTCCCCCCTATGCTCAAGCAGTCAGATGCCCACTGACATCATCAAGTACATTGCAGGGCCCATAGCCCTGCAATATATGTGGGAAACCGAGGGGCAGTCCACAAGGTGGAGCGTAGGGAAGACAAAGGGAGCTCCAAGTGCCAGGGTAGGCGGGATCACGTAAGCAAAACTGCTTTACCCAATACCCTAGACCAGGGGTATCCAAACTTCAGCCCTCCCACTGTTGTAGAACTACAAGTCCCAAAAGGCAATGCAAGACTCTGACCGCCACAAGCATGACTTCCAGAGGCAGATGCAAGATGGGATTTGCAGCCAGCTGGAGGCCGAGATTCGGCTATCCCAACCTAAATGAGCATTTAACCCTTGCAGTGTGGGGAAAGCCTCATTGCACAGGGAGCTGATTTTTCCTAGACATAGGCATTAAGATCAATGACAGTAGGGAGGTCTCTGGGGGCACCAATAAAATTGTGCTATGGGGCCCCATGATCTGTAGCCATGCTCCTGTCTGCGTCTGCACACCGAATAACATACAATACTAAAAATGTTTTTTTAGCTCAGCAAAGATCTTTGTTATGTTGAGTGCAGCAGCAGTGCTGAAATTACTGTGTGCTTTAAAAAAACTGTTCCCTTGTATATAAATACAGAATGTAATCAGGTTTCCAGTCTGCAAGGCACAGAAACATGAAGCTGGAGGAGGAGTTGGGGGTAATTTAAGGGGGTTCCCATATTTCCCTTAAATTCATCATCAGCCGTTGCCAAAGCCACCGCAAAAGTCATGCCACCCTTTAATTCTCCCATAACCACTTGCACTGGAATCTCTTCCGCATACATGCTTGTTTGGGAAGGTTCATTCAACTCCATGCTACAGATCAGGCAGGTCTGTAAGTGGATGTTGAAAGCCTTTGAAAGGGATTTCTTTCTGCAGCAGAGAGGTGATTAGGACACGGAGACATGGCTGCAGATCAGACGGGTAGGTGTGAGCAGTTCTTGTGTGTCTGTCTTACCCCAAAATGGATAAATGCCTAAAATACACAGCAGTAAGTGCAGAATGCAAATTGTGCTAAAATGATACTTATTGTTTGGTGGCCTTAGGGGCTACTCAGTAGTGCAAAGAGGGAGTCAGATGTATCGGCCCATTTGGATTCAGCTTCTTAGCAGTTCACTGAAGACTGTGTAGTCACATAGTAAGGTTGAATAAATACACTGCCTGTGCAAAGATAAAACAAGTCACACGTTCTAATATTTAATTGGCGCACCTTTAGCTTTGATTACGGCACACATTCGCCGTGGCATCATTTCGATAAGCTTATGCAATGTCACAACATTGTGTTCCATCCAGAGTTGCATTCATTTTTCTCCAAGAAGTAGTGATGATGGGAGAGTCAGACCACTGCGTAAAGTCGTCTCCAGCACAACCCAAAGTTTCTCAATGGGGTTAGGGTCTGGACTCTGTGGTGGCCAATCCATGTGTGATAATGATGTCTCATGCTCTCCGAACCACTCTTTCACAATTTGAGCCCGATGAATCCTGCCATTGTCGCCTTCTTGGAATATGCCCAATGTGCCAACAGGGAAGAAAACATCTATTGATGGAAAAACCTGACCATTCAATATATTCAGGTAGGCAGCTGACCTCGTTTTTTGGGCACAGAACGTTTCCGAACCTAGATCTGACCAACTGAGGAAACCTCTATAGCTCTTACGTTAGTTAAATCCAGGTGGTGACTTTTTTTGGCCGGGCGGTGTATTTACGGACTGGTAAAAAAAATTTGTGGTTAGATACCCCTTAAAGTGTAACTACATCTTTGTTTGACTCCCGACCAGTCTTATACTCCCTGTCCCAACCTGACATGATATCACAGATCAAAAATGCCCAGGTGGGCCCATGCATGTGCTCTGCACTCGTACTTGGAAGTTCATAGACCTGACCAACTGAAGCAACCCCAGATAATAACAGTTATTCAATGGAAGGCTCTTATCTATTTGCTTAGCTAAATCCAGGTGGTGTCTTTATATTTTTGGCCAGGCAGTGTACAGTAGATACGTCCATCAAAAATTAACAATTATTAACTCGTCAAAGGTGCTAGCTAATCCGGAGGAAGGAACAGTATGGACTTGGCTATATCAGGCACAGTTATTCCCTGAACCCCCTAGTAATGTAACACTTTTTATAAATGTATTTTAGATAGAGACATAGATAGATGGGTTGATAGATAGATAGATAGATAGATAGATAGATAGATAGATAGATAGATAGATAGATAGATAGATAGATAGATAGATAGATAGAGTATAAGTGTAAGGATGCACCAATGCTGTTTTTTTCGTTATCAAGTAGCGATATTTATATTTCAGCACTTGCTGATACTGAGTACCAATACCGGTACTTCTGCTAGCATGGAGCCGGCTTCCCGGGCAATCAGGAAGCCAGGCGCCATGTCCGGCTTCTTGATTGCCCAGGAAGCCGGCTCCATGCTGTTTGGTCAGCTCGATGCTGATTGGCTGAGGAGCCGCAAGGGAACCTAGAGTTGTTAACCTGGCCAATCAGGAAGCCTGGGAGGAGGGTCATTACCTGCCGCCCAACCTCCTGATCGGCCGGGAAGCCGGCTAGATGCTGATTGGCCGAATCGATGCTGATTGGCCAGGAAGCCAGCTTTCCAGCCAATCAGCATCGAGCCTGCTGTTTGGCTGGATCTATACTGATTGGCTGGGAAGCTGGGTTCCCACCCAATCAGCGTGGAGCTGGCTTCCTGATTGGCTGGGAATGCGGTTCCATGCTGTTTGGCTGGCTAAATGCTGATTGGCTGGGAAGCCAGCTTCCCGGCCAATTAGCATCGAGTCGGCCAAACAGCAACAGCCAGTCAGGAAGGAAGCCAGGGTGGAAAGCCGGCACTATGTTCCCTCGAGGCACTGCCGGTCAGAGGAAATCTCCCTCTGAGCGGACGTTCCGGTATCGGGGAAAGTATCGGAGCATTTGGGTGAGTGTGGGTACTCACTCAAATACTCGGTATTGGCACATTCGGATGCATTGGGATTTGAAAATTCGGATGTGTCTAAATGTCCGAATTTCGGGAAAATTCGTCTGAATTTTGATTCGGAACGAAACTAATCGCACATGTCTAGTGCGAAGCTTCAGTGGGCTCAGATAGGTGGTTCTACTTGGACCACATTGGCTCACTAGGTAGGATGTGTCTTCTGTGTTAGTTTAGATGTACAATTTTAATGTTTGACTGGAATATATTGTTAATATTTTTATTTTAGTGATGGATACCTGCAGTCACCTGCCAACATACAAAAAAAGACGGGACTCTACTCTGGCAGAAAAAGTAAAAATTCTGGAACTTCTGCAGCAGCCCAAAGCCTCTCAGTCATCAGTGGCTAGAAATATGGGCTTATCACAGTCTACCATTAGTAGAGTCATGAAAAAGAGAGATGAGATATTAGAGCGCTGGAACCAGAACGAGAACCCAAGCCGTAAACGAAATAGACCCTTTAAGCACGCCAAAGTAGATGAAGCGCTGCTAGAATGGCTTCTCTTTGCCAAGGCCAACAAACTGCCCATTTCTGGACCTATACTCATGAGGCAGGCAGAGGTAATTGCCAAGGAGATTGGCTGCCCACAGTTCAAGCCTTCCAATGGATGGTTGTGGCGATGGAAAGAGAGATATCGACTGTTCTATAGAGGAGACCTTCTACTAGGGGAGAAAAGACAAAGCAGATATGTTAAAATCCTACCGAAACCTACGCCAATTATCAAAATGGAGTCAAATAGTGCAATGGATAAAAGATTTGCTGGTTGCCATTTAACAACTGTCAGACATGTTCAAGGAGAACGAGATGTTCACATGCAGTCACAGCACTATAGCCAATGTGTCCAAAGCAATTCTTTAAGCAGGTCTGTGCTTCTAGCTCGAATTTCTAAAGATTACCATTTGGATGATATTTTCTGTGCTGTAGGGTCTCCTTTTCAATTCAGATTCATGTCAAGACCAGGGATGACCTTAGAACCAAAGGAGACTGTCTGCATCTGGTTCTGTTGCAACATGGATGGTACAGAAAAGCTTAAACTGTTAGTTACTCACAATCTTCCAGCAGGATCCTTGGGAACTCACTGTCTTTCTCCTGTATCTCTGAAGCCCAGTGAAAATGGTTGCTTGACTGATCCGTTGCTCGTTGAGTGGCTTTTGAACTGGGATGCCAAACTTGGTAGACAGGAAAGGAAAATTTTGCTGGCCTTTACCACCCAAAATGCTGGGCCAAAAGTGAAACTTCGAAACATCTCGCTGTGTATTTTCCCAAAACAAAATCCTTCGACGGGCCATCATTTTGGAGAAGAGTTGGTTAGTGAGTTCAACATATTTTACAGACAGTTTCTTCTTGAGAGACTGAAAGAAGACACCAACATTGGAGTGAGAACTGAGATATCCATACTTCAGAAAATGAGTGAGATTACCCTTGTGGAGGCTAGTTATACCATGAACAAGGCATGGTTAAGGATAACACCTCATACTATTACATCCAGTTTTCAGAAGCAAGAAGCTATCAGAATTCTTTGTTCGACCAAAAATGATCCACCAGAGGCAAGACCTCATGAGGTCATATCTTTCCCCATTTCACAAGAGAGCAACAGTAATGTTGTCAATTCTGCTGTATTAACTGCAGGTCAGGTATCCTACAGAACAATCACTATTAAAGAGGAGAGCGACGATGAACATGCAAACCTTGAGTATGAACCCTTGTGTACCGGTCTATCGTTTTCAAACCAAAAAGCAAAAGTTGCCTTTCCAACTATTGGTGAAAAGCCAAAGCTTACAGGTTTAAGGCCACGTCCAAAAGTTAAAGATATAAAAGGAGACTCCAACTTTGTTGTCAAAACCGAAGACAAAAGGCAGCTTATCGATGTTCAGGAGGTCAGGCAAGCTTGTGATGTAATTCAGTGTTTTTTGTCAAGTGGAAACCAAGACATGACTATTTTTTGTGCACTGCAGAACCAAATTGAGAGATGTTTGGCCAACTCAAACAGTAAGAAAAAAATGTAATTGCATGATAAGGAAGTAATACAGCCATAAAGGCTATAACTCCTTGTTTGTAGAGCAGAATTGATGGGCTGTTGATGAGTCAGCAGTGTAAGAAGGTCTATAGCAAACAGGAAGCACTTTGCTAGTGTAATGTAACAATTTTAGAAGGGGTAATAGAACCTACTTCACTTTGTGAGATAGAACTAAATCTTTTTAAAAGCTGTTTGTGTTTGCTCATGTACTTAGACCCAGGGTGAAATAAAAAAGTGCATGGGGTATATAAACAAAAGTGGAATATTAATCCACTAGTTAGCACACAAGCATTCATTTCACGGTCAAAAGTAACCTCCTTATGATCAGATATTTTCCAGTAATTAAGCTGCTATGGAGCTTTAATTGGTGATAAAGGTCATCCATTAAAGTGTCCATTGGCCATCACTCAGTGCTGGGTTCACACTCTGGCCATGGGAAGCCCCTGATTTGTGCCACTCCACTGACTCCTTAGCTCCGTGTCCCATGATGTGATTGTATAATGTCATATGGCTAAGGAAGCAATTGTTCACTTTTCCAAGACCCATCCTCCAATGTTGCAAAATGGACATGCCAAGAGAGCAGACACCAGACCACATCACTGAGCTTTTTTCAATGTATCTGAGGCCAACAAAAGCCTGATAAAAAAAAGTCCTATAGAAGATCAGGAGGCATCTGGCTCAGGGTGATGGACGCACCCTTTACTGTACCCTAATAGTAGCTCACTACTGTCTGCTAGCACTCTAACGTGTAAATGGAAGTAGAACGCCTTTCTCTAGAGGAAATTACTTATCGTACTGCATTTGTGGAGAGGACAGTCTGCAGAGCTGACACCTTATGCATAGGTCTCCATGGACAGCTCACAGAAACAAACTGTACCTGTTGGTTCACTTGAGAAGATCTAAGTCGTTTTGTGCGGTGTGTGTTCTCCTTAGCAGTTAGATGACTTGAACTTAAGGGTAGGTAGATAAATATAAATGTATGTATCATAGCAGACGCTCCCTTTTTAACATTTTCAACTGCACAAGTTTTAAAGCCAACAAAATTAGTAAAGAGGTGACAAGAAACACAATTTTATGTAAAATGATTGCAAGTTTGTGAATGATTTTTTTAGTAAACATTGTGTTGTATTGTGTGATTTTATTCACTTTGACATTTATTGTAACAAAGAACCTCTAATCAGTACTAGCTTTTGTATTGATGCATTCCACCGCAAGCATACTTTTGGGTTTCAGAAGTCATATGAACTCTTCACATAGAATGTAGTCTTGCAAAAGAGATCAGCCTGATGAGAAAACATCTTATTAATATATGTTAAAGCGTATGTAAAGCCAAACTGTGTTCTGCATCTCCAGGACAGAAAGTGAAAGGAAATTTCCCAAGTGAAATACAGACAGCAAAAAACAAACTGATAGGAGTCTTTCCCTCCCCGGCCCTATTTAAAA